AACATTTAATTCTAAGCCCTTTAACATCTCAATCATTAAAATATATGCACCTACAGCTGAACGCTCAGAAGAGGAACTTGAGGCATATTATGAGGTGATAGATTAGGCTAAAGAAAAGTACATCTAAGGAGATAAGAATGGTGCATTTCTGCTTATGCATTCATTTATTCAAGTGGCATATGCAGGACTGATGTGATGTGCTAAAAGTGTGTGTTGGTATTCTTGGTTCTTTCGGTAAAGTCACGTAGAAGGGAAACAATAAAATAATAAAAATATAAAACAATACAATTCTCTACGTGACTTTACCGAAAGAACCAAGAATATGAATCCCGGCAGTCACGAAAGCTTTAAATCAAAAGTGTGTGTTGGTCTTACAGAATACAATTATTCCAGACTGTTGGTGCCTCGACTTACGGATCATCGTATGTGTGCACACGTTGGCTTCTCTTACAAACAGGCCTTGTTCTCTCTTCAAGCCACATCCCATAAACCGTAAACATTGAAGCCAAGCAATTGATCTTCGGTACTGTTTAACAGGAACATTCCGATTGCATTATGAAAGATTATTAAAATCCACACCTTCATTTACGGTCCTTTTGTTAATCGGAACTAAACCTGATCGTAGGTGGGCTCGCCCAAGGGCTGCCCACGCTCAGCCTAATGCTCATGGCTCGTGCTCGATGATCCGGACCGTGCCACACTCTTCAGAGACGGCCTGTTTATGCCTATGGGCTCCTGTTGGAAGCATTCGAAACTGCCCGTTGATGGCTTCTCCACGTCGTGTAAATTGTGGTGGTTATTTTAATATGCTTCACCACGCTGGTCCGTGAAGGCAGAGAGCATAGACGTGGGAACATAGAAGGGCAGTACAATGGATTTTACTGCACTGCCCTCTGCTGACTACCACGTGAACAGTCCCACAGGCACCTTACAACAACCTGGCGTGCATGGTAGTCGCCCATTCACACTCCATCCAGACTTCAGCTCTGCCGAGCTGTCGAGGTCGGGTGCGTCCCGGATAATTTGGTGATTGGTCTCGCAATCAGCGGAACTGAACAAGCGCTTTCCAATTGCGTTATAAATAACGTTTTCAAATGGAGCGCTTAAATTACAATTTGCTGCATCACAACAATCGCACGAATTTAACCGAAGATGCAGTATTTTTCTGTATGAACACGGGTCTCGCCTCGCCATCAAAAATTATTTTGAATATAACACTATGTAACAAGATTTTTGTCCCTGTGTAGTGAGTATCATTTCCTAATTGCTTATGCCTCACAAGTACAGAAAATGGCTATTATTCCCCACAAACTTTGCTTTTGTGACCAGGACTTTACGTGAAGGAATGACACAAATGTACACCACGTTTTCTCATTGAAAATAGGTAAATAAAAAAAATATCACTGTCCTGGTCACTAAAGCAAAGTTTGTGGGGAATAATAGCCATTTTCTGTACTTGTGAGGCATAAGCAATTAGGAAATAACACTTACTACCAGGGACAAAAAAAATGTAACACAGTGTAATCGTGGGGCTCTCATAGTTATAATTTAATACTGTATAGGCGTTCTGTATGCTATGAGGTTGACCGACCGCAACTAACTTCAAGCAAGTCGGCATCTTCAACCTCACACAGGAACACTCTATACTTGACGTCAGGTAACCTTCTGGCGAGTAAACATTCACTCGTTGGCGACGGTATGGCCCGTCAAGCTTATTTGCACGACTTAACAAGAGCAGTGACGTGCTCAGCATGGGGGGTGAGGAGGTGACGTTGTTGGTGAGGGGGGCAAGTGCTCCCATGGCTAAAAAAAAGTATTTTCTCACCGCGTTACTACCCAACTCATACGCTCCTGCAGGTTTTGGGGACTGCATGTACCAATGCACAGCTCATCGCATAATTATAATCATATCCTCCTTGATTAAAGTCAAAATTAGGCCTCTCCTCGGTGCTCCTCTGCAGGTGGCCTCTATCTCTGAGCGTTTTTTGCTCACGTGGAGGGGAAATTGCCGTGCCGATTACCCGAGCGGAGAGTATCGCTTTGTGCAAATCAAGATTGCATGGAGCCGTAGTGAAAGCTATGACATACAGACTTACTCGACCTAGTTTCTCAAAACTATTACTACTGCAGAGGAGGAGGATGTTTGGGCTATAAATCTGACTTCTATGTGTTTGGGTTGTGTACACAACCCAATATACGACACAACTTGAATGGCATATCAGGCGAGATATTTTGTGTACACAACCCAATATATGACAACTTTAATGGCATTATACCAGGCGAGATATAACACAAGTCTGCTACAGTCCAGACCCTACGCGCCAAAAGATGTTTGTGAATACCAATAACAGCGTCGAGTCACTAATTTGCTTAGATGGACTTTTCGGAAATTGCGACATCCTGGATTCAATGACCACATGGCACTCCCCAAATGAAACTCGAGTGGTTTCTACTTCGTGGTTTTATAAATGAAAGGTCTCTTTTGAAAAACAATGACACAACTAGATATAAGACTATGTTTGGTGGAGAGTGGTGATATAGTGTTTATAGCACACTGCACTATGAACCTGACGGCCTAAGTTTGATTCCCAGCCATGTCTAACATCAGTGGTACGTGATATCTCAGCTGGTGTTGAGTCCCAATTCACCAATCCACGTGGTAAAGTATGATATGCCTTGTCGGTCATACTTTACCACCCGGATTGGTGGATTGAAAAACGAAGGGCTGTAGATTATAATTGTATTTTCACAAATATAAGTATATTATATTTGTGTATATGTATAAATAATAAAGAATTGTTATCATTATAATTTTCATTCCTTTGTCAATTCACGACTGGATGAAAGCCTCCCCATGTCTATGTAACTCATGGGGCATACTCTTTTGTCCTTTCGCTAAAGTCACGTAGGTATAAATAAAATGAAATAAATCACGACGTTTCGAACGCAACACAAGCTCCCGTCTTCAGGTGAAAATCGCGACAGCTGTCTGGGGCATGTTTGACCACGCTTCCCCATACTGGTCAGTGTGAGTTGGTGGATATGGACAGCACCGCTTCGGGTATCACTCGCCACTTATGATAGCTGTGGCTGGGAATTTAAGCAAAGGTTGCCAGGTTCATAGCGCATTGTGCTAACCAATGCACCACTGGTCCATCATTGTACAGTGAGGAAAAAAAGTATTTGATCCCCTACTGATTTTGTATGTTTGCCCACTGACAAAGAAATGATCAGTCTATAATTTTAATGGTAGGTTTATTTGAACAGTGAGAGACAGAATAACAACAACAAAATCCATGAAAACGCATGTCAAAAATGTTATAAATTGATTTGTATTTTAATGAGGAAAATAAGTATTTGACCCCCTCTCAATCAGAAACATTTCTGGCTCCCAGGTGTCTTTTATACAGGTAACGAGCTGAGATTAGGAGCACACTCTTAAAGGGAGTGCTCCTAATCTCAGCTTGTTACCTGTATAAAAGACACCTGTCCACAGAAGCAATCAATCAGATTCCAAACTCTCCACCATGGCCAAGACCAAAGAACTCTCCAAGGATGTCAGGGAGAAGATTGTAGACCTACACAAGGCTGGAATGGGTTACAAGACCATTGCCAAGCAGCTTGGTGAGAAGGTGACAACAGTTGGTGCGATTATTCGCAAATGGAAGAAACACAAAAGAACTGTCAATCTCCCTCGGCCTGGGGCTCCATGCAAGATCTCACCTCGTGGAGTTGCAATGATCATGAGAACGGTGAGGAATCAGCCCAGAACTACACGGGAGGATCTTGTCAATGATCTCAAGGCAGCTGGGACCATAGTCACCAAGAAAACAATTGGTAACACACATCGCCGTGAACGACTGAAATCCTGCAGCACCCGCAAGGTCCCCCTGCTCAAGAAAGCACATATACATGCCCGTCTGAAGTTTGCCAATGAACATCTGAATGATTCAGAGGACAACTGGGTGAAAGTGTTGTGGTCAGATGAGATCAAAATGGAGCTCTTTGGCATCAACTCAACTCGCCGTGTTTGTAGGAGGAGGAATGCTGCCTATGACCCCAAGAACACCATCCCCACCGTCAAACATGGAGGTGGAAACATTATGCTTTGGGGGTGTTTTTCTGCTAAGGGGACAGGACAACTTCAACGCATCAAAGGGACGATGGACGGGGCCATGTACCATCAAATCTTGGGTGAAAACCTCCTTCTCTCAGCCAGGGCATTGAAAATGGGTCGTGGATGGGTATTCCAGCATGACAATGACCCAAAACACACGGCCAAGGCAACAAAGGAGTGGCTCAAGAAGAAGCACATTAAGGTCCTGGAGTGGCCTAGCCAGTTTCCAGACCTTAATCCCATAGAAAATCTGTGGAGGGAGCTGAAGGTTCGAGTTGCCAAACGTCAGCCTCGAAACCTTAATGACTTGGAGAAGATCTGCAAAGAGGAGTGGGACAAAATCCCTCCTAAGATGTGTGCAAACCTGGTGGCCAACTACAAGAAACGTCTGACCTCTGTGATTGCCAACAAGGGTTTTGCCACAAGTACTAAGTCGTGTTTTGCAGAGGGGTCAAATACTTATGTCCCTCATTAAAATGCAAATAAATTCATAACATTTCTGACATGCGTTTTTCTGGATTTTGTTGTTGTTATTCTGCAGGGGATAAAATACTTTGTTCCCCTCTGTATGTGTAAACAAGAGTAAGTTTACTCTCCAACACACCGGTGTGCTGTACACGTAAAGAAATGGGATGTTCTGCTTACGTGACAAACCTTACTAATTGGCTGTGTCGGGTGGTGGCGGGTTTAACGACACATTTATATTTACGCGATCTAACAAAAAAAAACCTCTATGGATAATATTGGTCGCGAAAGCCTACGTGTTAAAGAGTAGAAATATTATTTCAATTTATAAATGCACCGACTCCGATTTAAATGCATGCAATTTATTAAATTAGGAGTAAATAAAAAATTCGACGTTTTTAAATAAGGCTTACAGCTTAGGATTTGGGTTACATTTATGGAAACATTTTCTAAAACATTTGGGCCATTTCGAGTGCACACAACATACCAACAAAGCACACGGCGCGTTGCAGTCAATGTATACAAATAAAAGCCAGTATAGATCACCGATGTTGTACAATATATATTCAATATATATTTTTTGAAAACAGCAATTGGGCTGCTGTACAAATGTCAAAGTCGTAATATTGACAAGAACTTAAGCATGTGGTGGGTATAGGTGAAGGAGGGACTAGCATGACTCATGAGAACTCTTATCTCAATGTTTTGGCTTATCTCCTACTTACCAAGGGTCAACAGTTTTAAGTGATGCAGAGCAGTGAATTGCCTAAAAAGCCCCGCTCGCTTATGCCAGCGACTGCATTACAATTATGTTTTGCGGAATCAATAACGTGGTTCATGATTTCAAGGTTGCAAGAGTCGATTTAGCATGCCCACCTAGTGTTTTTTAAATTACAGATATCGTTCAATAAGCACTCCACAGCATCTTTGTAACACGTCAACAATATTTTCCATGCATGTAACTGCTTATGAATGGCAGTTTGAACCGCAGTGAATTTCAGAGCGATATAACAAAATTGCAGTAAGCTTGATTGAGCATCTGATGAGACACAGTACAGGGGCAATTACGTTTTGTGAGTCAATGTTGACGATGGCCACGAACGTCGGAATGGCAACCAAATAACGCGACACACACCCGAGCGGACTTACACCGCGGAGATGGAGCGATAAAATCAACTTGTGTGTGTGCAGGTCCCAGATGGATTGTTACACAGCAGGATCGTGAGAGGTGGCGATGGGTTGGAGAGGCCTTCAAACCCGTAGTTGATTTATCAGGGCTGAAGACGATACATGAACATTATTGCATATGATAATGCGTGACGCGTGCGTTTAAAGTCCTGAATTATTTACCTAAGCAACAATGACTCTATCACTGATCTTGATCACATGCTCGAGTTTATCCACGTTGCACGTGTTAAACTGGACCATTATGCTGCATGTGCTGTATCTATTTACGATACGGGCGCTTTATTGTACTGTACTTGTACGATCACCCGCCTATGATCCCCGCCTTCACCAGAACCGCACTGACTCGCATGGTGAGTTGTATGGCCAAGCAATCTTGACGACTCGCACGGCGTGGAAATGCCCTCTCATCCAACAGTGGATTAACATAAAGTGCTGCACATGTGCGTGTATAGATTTAGTACGGTTACGAATAAGAGTAGCCATACGGTCCTGATTCCGACATGCCAGCCACAATTTTGCCCGTCGTATCTCACGTGTTTAGAATATACACGTCATCTCAGAAATAAATGAAGCGTCAACATCAAGGCGCTGTGCATGATTACAGTACCAGATCTGTGCACGCACAAGTCGCACTTTCACCGTATGCATCAGATGTCAGGAAGGTAAGCGATACAAGTTCGTTTACAATGCGCCACTTGGTCGTGAGCTCCTAGAAAGTAATTCGAGGTATTTGGCTTGGACCAGAGACGTTCAGAGTGGGGGTGGCGGCGAGAGTGGGGTGGGCATGTGTCACGTTTCACCTGAGGTGGATGGATCGGGATTGTTGGAGGGGCTCACTGCCGTGGTTTGTGTTCGCTATAAAACGCACCTTCTTGGGAGGCTTGGCTGGTCAAGTGTTTTGTCCAGCAGGTGGGCTGGCTGGCTGGCCTGCGCACAACACCGGAGTGCACACCGACCATCTCCCACCGCACGAGAACAACTGCGCCCGTGATAAACTCGGAGAGAGAGAGAGGAGAGAGAGAGAGGTACGTGCTTGCTGGCGATTGCAGTTATTATCGTTGTTATTATTATAGCACGCGCGGTGAAGTTCTTGAAGACGCTCTGAAACATTTAATGCGCGGGAGGGGATAACTCGGCTTCGAAGTTTAAAGGTTAGATCTTCAATGCTTATGTTGCTTGTGGATGAAATAGCGCTGTTATTGGTTGGCGTGCGCTGTGCTATGAACCCAGAGAACGGAATTCAATTCCCAGCCATGGTTTAACGACATGAGTGGCGGGTTATATCTGAACTGATGTTCGGGTCCACACAACATCATCGTGCCGCTTCACCAACTCACACTGACCAGCGTGGTGAAGTATGGTAACAAAATAAAATTACTGACAAGACATGGAAGAGTGCTTCATCCAGCAGTGGCTTTACATAAAGTATAGCAACATTTCAAGTTGACATTGACAGTGTGTATCGTGCGTCGAGTTAAAACGCACCTATCGAAAAGTGCCATTACATTGAGAGACAAAACAGCCGGGAGTAACACAGCCCCATTTCCAGAGCTCCAACGGGGTTTGTGCAAAGCCCCTTTTTTCAGTTTGGCTGTGAAGGAAATCAAGTTGTCGCGCGTCCAAGACCGCGTTATGTGTCTCGGGACCTTGGCAATAGATCCGACGCAGTTGGATTTGGCACGTGTCACAAAGTTTGTATTGTCAGTGTACTCGCTCACACCTTCTTGAGGTCGCATCATAAAGTTTATAGGTGATGATGGGCTAGATTTGGGTTTATATTGTATTGCAACCTTTGTCAATGCATCGGCACTTTTTTTTAATATCGCAGGGTCCTTGCAGATGGTGGATTGAGCATGGCTGCTGCTGCTTGCTGCTGATTGATGATGAGGACAATAATTAATAGCCTTGCAATAACAGCCTTCTGATAGGTCTGCCGAGGGTTCAATTGCGAAAAACAATTGCGTGTTTAACGTTGTCGTTTTTATATTATTAAACAGTTTGATGTGAGATTTTTTTCTGCAATGTAAATCTAAGATATGTCCAACTGTACGAGGGGAGAATAATTGTATTACATAATGTTTTAAGTCATTGTGTTTCCCTGCTCAAACGAACGTCGGGTGGCGCCTGTCTCCCGTTTACAGCACTGAGCCAGTGGTGGAAATTCCTCATGTTCATGGCAGTGCCGAGTCCATCCATCGTATGACCACTGTTGACATTCTACAAACTGGTAAGCCTTCTTATAGTATCGGTCTCCAATAGGATGGAGAGTTGATTGGGGTGAGAGCCGAGTTTTGAACTCTCAATTGTCTAACTGTGAGACGCGCACTCAAACCTTTGCGCAATCTGGCTAAGAAGTTGCAGTTATGTCTAATCAGCTGTAAATCCACTGCTGGGGGGGGGGGGGGGATTTCACCATACTTTAGTAGTATGGGATGTCACCATACTTCAGTACGGATTGGTGACACTGTTAGCCGAGGGCGGTGATCAAACTCAGGTAGCGGCGTTCATAACGCAGTGTGAAAACCACTGCGCCATAGTTGTACAGTGTTTGTTTATGTGCTATGAAGAAGGGCCATTGCTTGAAACGTCACCCGTTATGCTTTTCCTTTTAATGCAGCGTTATTGACGATCGTGTTGAGTTTGTTGTTGTTTGTGACCCAGTGGTTCGTACGCGCACCGTGCTAGTGCAGAAATACAATTAAGGCATTGTTTTAGAAGCCTGGGCTCGGAAGGCGCATTCTCTGTGTTAATGGTAACACTCAGCCTTTTAAAAAGAGCCGGCGCGGCTGTTGTAGCGGTGGCTTTCTACCACACAACAAAGGCCACGGTGGAATGCACTTCACTTTTGCGCCCAGCTCTTGGCGAACCAAGCGGGCAGCGTTGATAGCCTCCTCACCCATCTGCCTGTCTTCCAGAGAGGTGCAACCAATTTAACGAATAACTTCGAAGAAGAAACATCAAGCATCTGATCAGATGTCTGTACAAATTAATAATAAACAATTCAGGGGTTCGTCAACCTTCTTTTTAAATTGACAAGTTATATGTTTTAACTCCAACAATGAGTTACCGATGTTCATCAGTATGAAAAAGGACCCTCCGTCCGCGATGAGCTTTAGTGGGGACAGTCCATATCGAGTGGAGTGGGCAAATGACTATTGTTCGCAGCTCAATTTTCTAATTGGTCAGTTTAACACGTCGGCTTTCGCGACCAATATTATCCAGAAGTGAGGTTTTTCATTGGTCTTCTGACTTTTTCACCAAAATATAGTTGTTTTGCTCAACACATGTCTGAGCGGTGGCATTGATATCCATCGCGTGTGAAGGAGGTGGAAATTGCGCTAGGGTCCACGCGACCACGGGGCCACAGGGCCCCAGCCGCCGTGCGACCAACAATGAGGAGTGGGAATTGGACAGCCCTCCACCCCTCCCCGATTTAAATTCTAAACACCAGGGTCAATGACAACTACGCTAACTTTATATTCCACAGCCGTTCGTTACAGACTATAGAATCATGATGTAATCGCGGAATTATTTCGCAACTTCTGGGGTAGAAACGGTGGAACTCAAATAAAAGAAAAAAAATATGAAAAAAAATACGCGAAAGCCGCCTTAGCCGACTGCTAAGTTGTGCTTCGTGTGAGTTTGTCGGTCAGCTTATCATAGCATACCGCTACATTGTACAAAACGTTTTATGCCTATCTTCGTGGATAAAAAAAAGGTATAGAGAATAAACAGACAAGAATCGGTTTACATGAATAAATATAAAACAATATAAACAATGTACGAACAATATAAAACAATTGATGACATTAGTGTTTTGCGCCTTATTGAGCAATGTTTATTTAGAAACCACACCGCGGTGATGGGACGGCAGGCCGATTGAGTAAGCGATTTCCGCTCGGATTGTTCGTACCGAAAGCAAACTTCCAAGTTATGCTTGTCCATAATAGCCTTATTTGCATGTTATTTAATTAATATGCAAATTATGCCAGAAGTTTCCGTGATCGAATTTTGAAGGAACAATGCGACAATTTTAATCCGAGCCCATATAGAACCCTTTGTGTATGGATGTATACAAATTTGCTTTAAGTGCACATTACATATGAATTATTGTCGCTTAGATTTGTGGTATGCTATATGTTATGTGGGCAGCTTATGAGTACTGATGTAATTAATGCTTTACAATGTGCCTAGTAATGACACCGGAACGCCTGCTTCGTATTCTACTGTATTACTAATGATTATTTTCCATTAAAAAATATTACATTCGTTGGTAAACGATTACAGTTCCCATAGTGTGAATATGAAAAACAATACATGAGGGACATTGGCACGATCCATCGGGTACATGGGCGCCAGCAAAGTACCTGGCCAATCCAGTAAGTGCAAGTTGAGACGTGTAAAATGATAATGAGTTAAAGCCGACTTCAAGCAGAATGCCAAGATACTTGATTTAATTAGCGCTGCCTTTGGCGGTAACCCGACCACACAAGTCACGTCTAGGTGAAAGTGACCTCACAATTAATTGTCTAGCAGAGCTACAGCTAGGCCTCGGCAAGGTAAGGTAAAAGGTAAAAAAACAACGAGCCTACCTTTACCCTACCTTTTACCCTTACCCCATACAAATTACCCGATTACAGAGTAATTACTGGGGTACTACACATGAAAAAGGTTTATAACAGGTAAATGCTAGGTAGAGTGTTTTATTCACATAGAATACTCTCCATGATTCCAATTTTACACGCTTTCTTTTAAGTCACTCTGTCTGTTGTCGTTGTATCCTCAAATCTTGTAACTCAATTTTAACCTACTTCCCAATGTGGTTTCGACTGCAAACTTGGTATACTTATGTCATACTGATGACAATACTATATTCTATCATTAAAAATAAAATTAAAATATTTTTAAACATAATTTTTTATGTTATGTTTCGGCTTGGGTCTAATTGTCCACTGTCAACTGACGTTGGCTGTAATTGCCCACGGCCCCTCACGTTGTGGCAAGCTTCGGGGCCACTTCCTCGAGTCGTGGAGTTCTTCCATTACTGGTAGGGTACATTTCATAAAAGCGTGTTTTTTTTAAAGTTTAAAAAATATATTACCTATAAAATTGAGGCCACGGACTGCGCCACGGAGCTTTTAGCGTTAAACAAGGCACTGTATTTACCGGGTAATACTTCGTGTTACCTTTACCCTACCGGGTAATTCTTCCGAGCTACCTTTACCCTACCCTTTACCTTACCCCTTGGCATGTCGACACTTTTACCCTTTACCTTTACCCTTTTACCCGGTGAAAAAAGGTAAATTACCTTACCTTGCCGAGGCCTAGCCTACAGCGGCGCAAGCGATAGGAGGGAAAAACGCACGGCAACAGATGTCACCCGATCCAGAGTGTGTCTCTTCTCTGTGGAGCCATGCAGACCCGCAGTTAAAATGATTGTTCGTACATTGTGTTATAATAGTATCCACTTGTGCTTTGGAGTTGTGTGGATTTAATTGATGCCTGTTCCGCTACGAATAAAAAGAACACATTTAATTTACAGTTCGGAAAAATATCGTAAAAGTAATGTTTGATAATGCTGTTACTTATACACCATCATTCTCTAAACAAAAAATACAACCATGTGACATGGCATTGCCCTCGTGGACTTTGGAGGCTTATTTACATATAGAGAATTGCCACAATGTTGATAAAATGTTGGTTTTATTGTACGATTGTAGCTATAAACTCAATATATTGCTGATAATATTATTTTATTTACGTGAAAAATGCAATAATCACTAATGGGTAGCTGCTCTTGCATTCGGAATGTTAGTGAAACCCGTACCTCAGTCCCTTTACCCACACCCTCGGCCTCTTCTTAGGCCTGCCTCGGCAAGGTAAGGTAATTTACCTTTTTTTACCGGGTAAAAGGGTAAAGGTAAAGGTGTCGATATGCCAAGGGGTAAGGTAAAGGGTAGGGTAAAGGTAGCTCGGAAGAATTACCCGATAGGTTAAAGGTAGCGCGAAGTATTACCTGGTAAATACGGTGCCTTGTTTACTGCTAAAAGCTCCGTGGCGCAGTCCGTGGCCTCCATTTAGTAAGTAATATTTTTAAAAACTTTTTTTAAAACACGCTTTTATTAAATGTACCCTACTCATAATGGCAGAACTCCACGACTCCAGGAAGTGGCCCCGAAGCTTGCCATAACATAAGGGGACCGTGGGCAATTACAGCCAACGTCAGTTGGCCGTGGACATTAGACCCAAGCCGAAACATAACATAAAAAATAATGTTTTTGATATAATATAGTATTATCATCAGTATGACATAAGTATACCAAGTGTGCAGTCGAAACCACATTGGGAAGTAGGTTAAAATTGAGTTACAAGATTTGAGGATACAACGACAACAGACAGAGTGACTTAAAATAAAGCATGTAAAATTGGAATCATCGAGAGTATTCTATAAGAATAAAGCACTCTACCTAGCATTTACCTGTTATAAACCTTTTTCATGTGTAGTACCCCAGTAATTTCCCTGTAATCGGGTAATTTGTATGGGGTAAGGGTAAAAGGTAGGGTAAAGGTAGGCTCGTTGCTTTTACCTTACCTTGCCGAGGCCTAGTCTCCTACAATCAACACTCATTTTACTGATCATAATGAAAGTGTAAGCACGTGTCATACCGGTGTAGAGTCGAATACAACGATAAGTCCAGCATATATGAACTCAGAACTGTCTAAAGAATAAAGCGATAAAGTGGTACAAGCTATGTACAGTATTTAGGTGTAAGACAACAATATACATGAAGGTTTAGCAGGATATACCCACGCACTTGTAAGCACGTGTTATTAGGCTATGGGTCGAGGGACAAACACAGCACACACATCTCTAGTGCCTTGTTGTCCATTCAAGTATTTCCGTACCAATTGCACACAATTCTCAACATGGCCGTGTTGATGTGTCGTTAAGATCCGCGTCAAGAGAAAGGGGGACGCAGTGCAGAAGGATGACTGAGCCAAGCAGGTCGACCGCTGACACGGAGTCCCAAGGTGACGATGTAGGCGTGCACGTGGGCGCCGTGGAGGAAGGCCGCGTCCCTTCTCCACCAGCCACTTCAAGCAGCCTGGGCAGCTCAGGCACCTCAAGCTCCATCGTACAGCCCCTCGTGCAGTCAAAGGCCGGCGTGGTCTTCTCGTCCCTCTATGCCATCAACTTGATCATATTTGGCGCCACCTTTAAGTTTGCCGAGATCCTGAATCCCAACCATTTAGTGACCCATGCCGAAATGTACATCTTTCTGAGCGTCATCGTGACCATTTCCATCCTGTACATGGTTGGCTTTGTGCTCCACATGCGCCGTGTTGACACAAGCAGCATTCCGATGGACCACCACGCTGGAGCCAAGTGGTTAAAAGGTAACCAACTCTGCACCTGTGTCATAAATCATGATGTATATTTGGATGCATGTTTTCATTGCTGTTGTCAGCCTGTAACTTCCAACTGGTGGAAAAAGGTCTCCCCCACTTTATTTCATTCCTTCCCTTCCTTAGTTGTTTTTGTCCAGTAAGGAACTCAGGATTTTGTGATGATTTTATCTCGTTGCCATTTATTATGATACCTTCCTTTTGCTTCTTTGGCCTTCTCTGGGTCTCCAATCAGTAGTTAATTTTGTTCATCCCTCATCAGATGTGTTCATCCCGTGTCCTGACAATTTCCACTTATTCATTTTACTTTAACAATGGTGACCCCTGTAATTGTCCTTATTTATTAACCTATATATACGACTTACTCCTAAAATGCATTTACATAGATCGTTGGCAAACGTATGGCCTTTTTAAACCATAATTACTTCAAATAGAGCAGGATGAGGTGACTGCTGTGCCTGTGTCCCAACAGGTGGCCTGGCCTTATTTGCGCTGGCAACGATCATTCTGGACGCGTTCCGCATTGGGTACTACACTGGCATGACACACTGCGAGTCTGTGGCCTTGGCCATATTCCCCGTCCTACAAGCCATATTCAGCATCATTTTGGTGAGAATACAATCCTCCCGTCATCACAAGTGTCAACCTTTCATACAGATTAGCAAACACGGACTCAAAATCTATCATTCAAAATCGGAAACGAGAGTGAAGCATTGGCATCTCATGCCCATTTACAGGCTGGTGATATGTACACCTTGTGCTGTGTAAGAACAATCACCACTGGAGTTCCCTAGGGTATACTGCCATATGGCGATACAATGGTTGAGTTTAGATGTGATTTCGATTTAAAGCTTTCGTGACTGCAATGATTCATCTTCTTTGGTTCTTTCGGTAAAGTCACGTAGAATGAGAATAAAATAATAAATTGATAAAATAAAATAACACAATAATATTCTCACGACGTTTCGGCCACAACACAAGCGGCCTTCATCAGGTGAAGGGACGAGACTGTCTGGTAGGACAGCGCTGGAGTGAAAGAGCCACGTTCAGATCACGACCTTTAAGCTGTGTGAGAGGAAACAAAGCGCCTTGACAAAAGAATTAGCATATAATTTAGCATTGAAATGGCTGAGTGATTAGCTTGTGACTGGTCACAGAAATAGCTATGTTAAAAGTTAAAGCAGACACATCCGCAGAGGCACCCCTTGATAAAGGAATTAGCATAGAATTTAGCATTGAAATAGCTAAGTTAAAGCATACACATCCGCAGAGGCACCCCTTGACAAAGGAATTAGCATGGAATTTAGCATTGAAATAGCTGAGTGATTAGCTTGTAACTGGTCACAGAAATAGCTACGTTAAAGTCAGAGCATACACATTCACCGAGGCACTTAGTACAAATCAAACAGGAGAATTTAGCATTGAAATAACTAGGCGAATTTATCATTGAAATAACTGAGTGATTAGCTAGTGACTGGTCACAGAAATGACTATGTTGAAGTCCAGGCCTACACATCTGAGCTATTCACAGTACTATATAGTGAACCAATAAAAAACTAAAATATAAATTACCTTAATGTTATCAATAAACTCTATATTCTCCAATCAGCTAAGCTACCAACAATAAGTCGTTATATATAACAATGCTATATGGCGAAAAAATGGGTGGATTCTTACCCTCAACTTTAGCACCACGGATAGCTACGGGCCCCGTTCAGACGGACGAGTTCATCCATGGTCGGAACAGAGGAGGGGGAGAGAGACAGCTGCGAGGCGCTATTATACTCCATGTTGTAAACCATACCATTAACCGTGGTGTGAGAGGTATTAAGAGTCAATGCTGGCGAAAGAGCTGCGGTCTGAAGGTCATCGTAAAATGCAATGTAGGGTAAGGTGATGGTTTTGGAAAGCTACCCATACAGATGCTTACTTGAAACCGGATTCCCACCACCATCCATCCCAGAAGAACTCCCTCATCAAGACTCTATACCATAGAGCCCAATGCATTTCCGACCAGGAACACATTACCAGTGAACTCAAGCACGTACACCAGGCTCTCAGGGCTAATGGTTACTCCGACTACACAATCCGCAAAGCCATCACTCCAGTCATGAAGAAGGATCCTCTTGTGGAGCCACTCAAAACCATCACCTTACCCTACATTGCAGGGGTCACTAAAAAGATCTCCAAAATCCTGAATAAACACAAGATCCAGGTCCGATTCAACACAGTACATAAAATCCGTGATTTAGTTCCATCTGTAAAAGATGCTGTTCCAGACATACAGTACCCGGGCGTTTACAAACTAAAGTGCCTCTGTGGTAGTAGCTACATTGGAGAAACCAAACGACATATCTCGGACCGCATTCGCGAACATAAAGCAGACTTGAAACACGGTAGGACGAACTCCTCTGCCGTGGCAGATCACTGTTATAATTCAGTGGGCTCACATGACATTGACTTCTCCAAGACGGAGGTTCTTTGCAAACCAACCGGCTACCATGAGAGATTCGTTCATGAGGCCATTCACATATACAAGCACAGAGACAATTTCAACCGAGAAGATGGATTCTGGCTTAGTAACCATTGGAAAGATGTTTTAAACCATTTCTGTTCTTAATTAATTGTATTTTACGATGACCTTCAGACCGCAGCTCTTTCGCCAGCATTGACTCTTAATACCTCTCACACCACGGTTAATGGTATGGTTTACAACATGGAGTATAATAGCGCCTCGCAGCTGTCTCTCTCCCCCTCCTCTGTTCCGACCATGGATGAACTCGTCCGTCTGAACGGGGCCCGTAGCTATCCGTGGTGCTAAAGTTGAGGGTAAGAATCCACCCATTTCTGTGACCAGTCACTAGCTAATCACTCAGTTATTTCAATGCTAAATTCGCCTAGTTATTTCAATGCTAAATTCTCCTGTTTGATTTGTACTAAGTGCCTCGGTGAATGTGTATGCTCTGACTTTAACGTAGCTATTTCTGTGACCAGTTACAAGCTAATCACTCAGCTATTTCAATGCTAAATTCTATGCTAATTCCTTTGTAAGGGGTGCCTCTGCGGATGTGTATGCTTTAACTTAGCTATTTCAATGCTAAATTCTATGCTAATTCCTTTATCAAGGGGTGCCTCTGCGGATGTGTATGCTTTAACTTTTAACATAGCTATTTCTGTGACCAGTCATAAGCTAATCACTCAGCCATTTCAATGCTAAATTATATGATAATTCCTTTGTCAAGGCGCTTTGTTTCCTCTCACACAGCTTAAAGGTCGTGATCTGAACGTGGCTCTTTCACTCCAGCGCTGTCCTACCAGACAGTCTCGTCCCTTCACCTGATGAAGGCCGCTTATGTTGTGGCCGAAACGTCGTGAGAATATTATTGTGTTATTTTATTTTATCAATTTATTATTTTATTCTCATTCTACGTGACTTTACCGAAAGAACCAAAGAAGATTTAGATGTGATGTAAAGCACTTTGAGACACTGAAGCGTTTAAGCACCCAGTTCCTGAAGAAATTCCCAGCACATGGAGCAAAACTTTGGACATCATGCCAAACAACACATGGTACAACCCAAAAACACTTTGGCGAGCGATTCAGCACAACCGTGTAAACCTGCACAGAAGCATTACCCCTACCTATTATAAACAAGCACTAAACTTGTGAATCTGCTGATGACACGACCCTTAGTACAGCTGATACAGCTTTGCCCAGCCTGTCAGGTTTGATAAAGGGATGCGAGGATTACTAGGTAGCTATCATACAAATCTACTGCAGGGAAACGTGGACGAACATCACTCATGATGTGGCCACGACCCTGGTGCAGTAGGCCCGAAACAATCAGGTGCCGTGTGCACTTTCACTTTGTGATAGAAACTAACGCACTCCGTAATAAAGGATGCAATCCTGGTCTTTAATGCAGTTTTTCCAGGTGTTGCTGATGGTAGAGCATGGACAGGCGATCGGACTTCCAAGTAGAAATTTGGATTAAGATTTCTGGTTTTTATTTTTTACTGCTGTAAGGTTAGCATTCGCTGTATGTGTGGTCATGTATGTGGACCAGATTAGCATGACATTATTTTATACATGAATTTAGATGGAAATAGTTTTGTTACAAAAAGTACATTTTAATTGGTTGTTTTTCTCCTTTTCTCAATGCCAGGTGTTACTACTTTGGGTTTATGGAAAATACTGTGTCCGAGAATGGCAGACTCTGCACAGGTAATTTACTCAGCGGTTCTAATGACACAACATGATGAATAAGCAATCAATGCAAAATTTATGTCAATTAGCAATTAAGCATTATTAATGCATATAAGAATATTTGTCTGTAATTATTGCATCAATGTTTAAAGTTTCACAATGGAACACATTTGGGAATAACAAACATAAGAGGACACATTAAATGGATGGTCAAATGATTGTTACCCGGCTCTGGTTGTGATGTTTTTCACATTTCTTTCTTCTGTTTTGTAGACTTGGCATGATGCACACTTTAGCAACGAGTATTTTAATATGGTTTAACACCGTTATTGAAGAATCTATAAAAGTTATCAAGGAGATAGATCATTCAACTGAAGTGCTACCTTCAAATGGTACGTAATTACATTGCTCACATTTAATATGAAATCACAAAAATGTTTTTTATACTTCATGCTCAGATAAGATGAATTGATTTAATGCAGTTCTGCCTTTTAAACACACCCACACAGATATATCGTAATATAACATCAGACAATCTCACGTGCAATTTATTTTTAAAAAAATCTTCTTTATTATCCATATGTACAAGTAAATATGGCACCAAATTAGGGGCAGGGGGGCATACCACCCTCAGACTTAGCAGACTACAGCGATAATAAGAGACATCAGATGATGGATTAATGATGATGAACATGACAAACAGCATCTCATCATTTCAACCAGTGCACTTTGCATATTATTTTATTTTATTATATTTGTTTACCCAGGAAAACCTCACTGAGTCCCATGACTTTTCCTTTTTAGAAGGGGGTTTGCCCACGTTTCACAGTAGGGGGCAATGGTTGCTATCTCTACTTGCGGGTAATTTTTTTCAAATTTGGACCCTGACCCTGGCACATGATGGCATAGTGTAATGGAATATTTAACGTCAAATGTGGAGCAGACGGCGTAGAGTGATTATATGGTTAATACACCCGCAGTAATAACCAGGGCAGCTGCTGAATTTGAACCGTGAAACTTTTGCCAGAATTGGAAAACGCCACCACTAGGCCAGTGTTCTTCACTCATTTTCAGAGGAGGGCCACTTTCGCCATCAGTGTGAGGGCCGCCACGCATGTGAAACCATTGGGGTTTGACAGCACGATCGGGGTGTTTTCACATTTGTGTATTGTCAGGAGCCGCACATTAGGGATCGCACTAAAGGCCACCAAGGGCCGCCAGTGGCCCATGGGCCTTGCAATGAAGAACACTGCGCGAGGCCATGTCACCGCCCAGTGAAGAAGCCACCTCGTGTACTATTCCATGACCACAGCGCCCCCACTCACAAGAGACCGGTGGTTTTCTTCTCTACCGCACATCTGCATCATTGTTCTAGCCCCACGCACATACCCCTAAAGCTCCCCTACTTCTCCGCCCTCCCCCCCGTTGCGACATCCGTTAGTCCCAACGACTTGACAAATGGTTGCACTGCCCATGTGTACACGCATCATCTCAGCAGTGTCCCAAATAGTTTTGCTGTGCACAAGTATCTCTTGACAGCGGTCTGACATTACAATGGCTGTGTACCCTAGCTTTGTATTATTGAGTTTGCGCTCTTTTTCGATCTCATGATGTACAGTTGTCCCGACTCTGTCATTCCTTAGGTATTCTCTATGTTCATCATGGGGTTGGTCGTAGCAAAATCATAAGTTCGCGTGAAAATCAAGTCATAACATCGGATCTGTTTAGTGATAGCCCTACCATCTCCATTGTTACCTCTACCATTCATTGGCCACTGGGGCCTTGCTCAACTATTACCGTTAAAGGGCCCCATAACCGGTTGTAATCATTTAGCATTACTCTATGTACGTTCTAACTCAACAAAGGTGTTTGCATTGAATTAACTTATCACAGACCACTGTCTTGACTTCCTCTGTCTTGACTATTTTTAACTGAACGAGGTGACTCCATCTGGTTTCTCTTTTTGCGAGAAACCACGGTCATTAGGTAGGGGGGGGGGCTGGCTTTATTTAATGCAAATTCTGCAATTGTAAAACCTGGCCCATTGCCAACGTTCCAGTCATTTGAGCACCCGGCATTAGATTCGAGGCCAATTTGTATCCAGGCGGCATTGTTAATATTGCTCTATCACCAATCAAAGTTAATTTCCACATTCCTTTTAGAGTTTTCGGATTATCTGTCGGTGGTGTGTGCTCATTCTCAACGGATTCTCATAATTGGTGACTTTAATGTCCATGTTCATACACCATCCAAACCTCATGTCAGATACTTTTTGGCCATCCTTGACTCTTGGTTTAATCCAGCATGTCAAACAGTCAACACAGTCTGGTGAACATACTTTAGATTTGGTTTGTTCTCTTGGGCTTTCACTATCTGAACTGACTGATGGATCCAGGAATCTCAGACCACTCTTTTGTCTTCTTTGATATATCCCTGCCTCCTCCCGGTCCTTCTATTAAACATCACATTCTATTTAGCAAAATTACATCAATCACCCTGCCTCTCTCACAGATTTTCAATTATAAAACTCTGTTCTGTCAGAGATCCTGGATTATTTGGCTCCCCTCCGAACTTGTTGGATATCTTCCCATCACCCTTTGCCATGGTACACTGCATAATTGAGGGTGCAAAAATCTGTCTGTAAAGCAGAACGTGCTTGGAGAAAGTCCGACCTTACCATTCATCATCAAATATTTAAAGAATAGCTTCTTACTTAGCATAACAATATTGCCTTGGCTAAATTCTCCTACATTGCTGATCGCATTGCAAATAATGATAACAATCCTCGGACCTTATTTTCCTATATCAGTCAACTATTGAAAAAGGAGCCAAACGCAATCTCCCACTCCTGTGCTGATTTCTGTACTAAAATTCAATAGTTATTTCACGATAAAGTTTCCATTATCCGGTCCAAATTGCTGACTACAGTATTCCCTCTTTTCCCTCTCTTTCCTACTTTCCTCTGGCTCAGTTAGAGGACACATTGTTGACCGAGTCTTCTGCAATTTCAACTGCGCAACTCATTTCTTTATTTGCTGTCTCTCGACCTACCAGCTGTCTACTGGATCCCTTCCCTTGAAGGGTATTAAAGGACAATTCTGTGATATTGAGGCCGTTTATCCTCTGTCTTCTCAACAGGTCTCTCAATACCAGCACAGTTCCTGACATTTTTAAGATGGCTGCGGTCACCCCACTTTAACAAAAATCCAGATCTTGATCCCGAGCTTCCGGAAATGTTTTGCCTAATATCTAACCTTCTGTGATTTGTCTACGATTCTGGAACGAGCCGTGGTCACTCGTTTACATCAGCACCCGGCCTCAAACGATCTGTTTGGCCACTTTCAATCAGGGTTTGAACCTGCACATAGCACCAAAACTGCTCTGGTAAGGGTGGTCAATTATTGACTTTTGTCAGTAGATAAAGGGGTTTGTCATCCTCCTCATTCTGCTAGATCTAAGCCCGACAGTTAACGCCACTGATCACGGGGTTCTCCTTTAGCGACTGGAAGTTTCAATGGGGATCTCTGGCATAATTTTGCTGTGGTCCCACTCTTACTGAAATAAGCATAGGTACTTCATCACAAAGGATGGCTTCAAGTCACCAATTACACCTGTTCTCTGCGGTGTTCCACAGGGATCTGTGCTTGGCCCATCACTTTTTAGCATCTCCATGGCACCACTCGGTATTCTGCTCCGACATCTTGGCTTATCCAAGCATTGCTATGCAGACGAACACTCAAATTTATATCCAGTTAGGCCCAGACTATGCAACAGCTTTTTTTCTGCGCTATCTGCATTACTAACAGTAGTGAATTCATGGTTGCACCAAAACGTTTTGCTATTCAATGCCGACAAGACCGAAGCCATATTAATTGGCTCCCCTCTGCATCTTTCTAAAATTGGTTCACCTCGTTTGTTGATTAATGGTTACGATGTCTGCCCCACACGGGAGGTCTGACACCTTGGTGTTCAGTTTGACCAGTAATTAACCTTTGAGGCAAATATAAATAAGGTGGTTAAAATTTACTTTTCTATCTAATAAATAATGCCAGAATGCATCGCGTCCTATCACCTGCTAACTTAGAGAGGCTGATCCATGCTTTTCTCTTATCCTGACTCGATTACTGCAACGCCTTACTGGGTGGGATTCCGAGTAAAGTTCTGGGCAGACTACCAGCTTGTTCAGAATGCAGCTGCTGGAGTACTTACACCACGTACACCATCCGTGAGCACATTACACCAGTCCTCTTATCTCTTCGTTGGTTACCAGTCAAATTCCGAGTGGATTTTAAGATAATGCTATTAACCTTTAAGGCTTTAAGAGGGCTCACCCTATATTATTTGTAGGAACTAATACATTTATATATTCCATCATGATCTTTAAGATATTTTGATCTCCAACTGCTGAGCACTCCCAGGTCTTGGTTGTGCTGTTTTGGTAATCGGGATTTTGTTAGCATGGCACTCAAACTGTGGAATGCCTTGCCACTTGAAATCAGGGACAGTTGGTCGACATATTCAAGTCTAATTTCGATTTAAAGCTTTCGTGACTCCAAGGATTCATCTTCTTTGGTTATTTCGGTAAAGTCACGTAGAATGAGAATAAAATAATAAATTAATACAATAAAATAACACAATAAAATTCTTACGACGTTTCATTGAAGCTCTGTCCTCCCGACAGGTCTGTTCCTTTCACCTGAAGAAGGCCACTTGTGTTGTGGCCAAAACGTCGTGAGAATTTTATTGTGTTATTTTATTTTATTCATTTATTATTTTATTCTCATTCTACGTGACTTTACCGAAAGAACCAAAGAAGATATTCAAGTCTGCTTGGAAAACCCATCTTTTTAAACTGGCCTTCCATCTTTAGTTTGGTCGGTTGCCCTGGTTCTGTTTTGTGTCCTGCTTTTCATGCATTGCGCATTGGGATCCATGGACGGAATGCACAATATAAATTTGAATTGTTGTTATTTTTACCAGCATGAAAGGATAAGCAATTTAATAGTATATCGTTGGTTATTAAAAAAACACAATGAAAATAACACATACAATATGGCCTGGGGTGGTTGTGGAGTGGTTTACATGCTGTATTATGAACCTGGCTACCTGAATTCATTCCTGACCACAACATCAGTGGTGAGGAATATCTAAACCTGTGTGTGGCACTCCTCCTTCACAAACCTGCAGAACAGATATGGTGAAGTATGGTCTAACAGCTGCCATCCCATGGGTAATGGAAGGCATGAAAGTTTTTCGTACATTTTTGTGCAAATATAATAATGTTCTTAAAATTAGTCTATGGATGTGGAGTGGTGGTGAAGTGGTTACCGCACTGTGCTCTAAATCCATTACCATCAACTCGAATTAGATTTTCGACCGTCAGTGACGAGGGACATCTGAACCAGTCCTGAGCTTTTCCTTCACTAAGCCACACTGGCCTGCATGACCGGCAGTGTGGGGGAGGCCTCTATCAGTAGTGAATTGACAAAGGGCTGTAAATCATTTGTATTATTACTATTATAATGAAATATCGTCATGGTATATATTTATTTTCACATATCTAAAATGTGTTCTAAAACATTGTTTTTGTATTTACAGTAACATACAACGAAACGGAATGCACATGTCAGATGAACTTTTGCCAGATGTTCTATGACAGCGTGCTATTTCTGGATCCTTTCAACATTGAATTCAGCCTCTTTTCCTCTGCCATGCTGTACGTGATGTGGAAGAACATGGGTCGGATAGACGCTCACAGTGTGTGTGAACCACACGTAAAGCCCAAGATGCGAATGGACAATGTTCTGTTGGGACCCATCTTTGGAATAGTTGTTTTAGCATCAACGCTTGTTGTTCTGGTCACAGTTGAAGTGCAAGTCAGGACTCCTGCAACTAAAGGACAGGCACTTTCAATGTATTACCTATATGGCATAGTAATTTACTCATCTATGGCAATCTGTGGTGTTGCAGGATTAGTAATATACAAATTAGGAAACAGTGGTTTGAGGAATGATAAAAATGTAGTGAGAAACCTCGATGTCCTCCTGCTCATTGGCTCATCAATTGGACTTTTTACTTCTGCCTACTTTTCTGTCATTGCCGCAGGGTTTAGCTTGAGTCCTGAAACGAATTTCTCTACATTGGTAATGGCAGCTGCATTTTGCAAAATCGTTGAACTCATTTCTCAGAATCTCTTTATAATTGAAGGGCTTCACCGTAGTCCGAGGACCGTGTTGGTGCACGACCAGGGAAGCAGCCCCACTCAGCGCATAACTATAGAGGCTATCAACGGGGCATTTGAAAGTGATAGCCCATCAGTGTTCACGCCAGTTTCTCAGCGCAAGCTTCATCTGAATGCACCCAATTTCAGAGCAGCGCAAGATGCAGGGATATTCAGCAATGCACTGCCATCCACACCAAAATGTTTGAACAATTTTGATGGCATCGGCGATGCATTTGAGGTGAGAAACCCTTCTCGGGAAGCAACAGAGATGGCAATTTCCCCCATGTCACAGCACAGTCTGCAGTTTCAAATCAGCGAAGATTTAAATGACGTCGTGAGCAACTCTCTAAAAGAAAGCAGTGAATGTGTTACCCAAGCGGAGAGCATTGGCAGCTTGACAACAGACAGCTCCAACAGGTCTTCAAGAACTGCAAGGCCACCGTTGGATGCCAAGACATACATTATTAAAAACTTCACCATCTATTTGTTGCTGTGCAACATGTCGGTAAGTCACATGATGTGGATAATTACGCGACTTTCGCTTTGAATCCATGTTTTTAGGATGTAATTTCATTCAATTATGTACTTGATGATTCATTGCATTTCTGCAAAATAGATTTATTTAATTAAAACCACTTATATTAATGGATCCATGTTAACAAGTAATGACATTGTTGACTTGGTTGTGTTGAAAGTTGACCAACCGTGTTACTAATAATACTGATGTATTGATAATTAAATCAACACATCGATGTGCCCGGAAAGGATTTTTCTCCATGTGTACATATTGCCTGCGATAACATTTGGAACAGAAACATGGATACTGACAAATAATATGGGACAAGACCTGAAAAGTTATCAATAAAAGAATGGATAGATGCATGGACGGTGACACGGCCTAGCCGTGCTACCTAGTGGGTTACCTAGTGGTAGCACGTTTGCCCTTTGATGTAGAGCTTCACGGTTCAAATCCAGCGGCCGTCCGAGTTATTACTGCGGGTGTATGAACCATAAAGATACATGCCGTTTGCATCAAAGTGAACACTAGAGATCCCTGATGTCATTCACACAAGTAGTTGGAATTATAGATAGCAACGATTGCAGACTGGCTTGGGCAGGATACATGGCTGGGGATGGAATGGTAGCCAAAACGGAACACACTTGAATGCATGACCACCACAGAGATGTAGCGATGAAATTAGCTTACGTGCAGGAAAGAGATGAATTATGAACGATTATGATGTGACTAATGTTGTCATTTTGTATTTCCCTACTTCAACCTCTTGTCATTGTCTACCCCCTTTCCTTTCCCCTCCAGTTGTGGATCATAACAGCCTTCGGTGAACGGCTGCACCTCATTAATAGTATAGGAGACCAGTTTTATGGATTCTCAGCGTGGGTAGTCGCCATTAATTTTTCAATCCCGCTTGGAGTCTTCTATCGCATGCATTCAGTGGCCAGCCTCTTTGAGGTGTTCTGCACCACTTAAGAGGGCCCCACATGCCTCGAAGCGCAGGCTGCAAGCCGTGCTCCCCAGTACGCCACACGTGATCATGCAAACATCTCCAGAGATATTGCACACGCAGGATTTTAAGAGCTCATATATTTTTTGTGTATATGAGAGTATTACACCCTCGCAGGGTGATGCGTATGGGCATTTAAAGCAGAATTTGGGGCCCTGCAAAACATGTGTTATGGGTTTATAACAATTTGGTGCATATTCTGTGATATTGTAATACGGTAGACTATGAATATGCACACACCCTAAAACTAAACTATTTTATTTACCAGGTAAAGCCCACTGAGCTATGAGCTCTTTTTCAGAAGCGACCTAGCCACAAATGATAACTCACCTAAGTAGCTTATCTTGTGGAAATGTATAGCAGCCAAATACTCTAAACGCGTGTTTCTAAATGTGGAGGAAAAAACCGGAGGACCCGGAGAAAAATCCACGCGACCACGGGGAGAACATGCAAACTCCAAATATACAGGCCTCGGGGTCGGGATCGAACCCATGACCTCCTGCATACCAGGCGAGGGAGCTACAGTGAGGGAAAAAAGTATTTGATCTCCTGCTGATTTTGTACGTTTGCCCACTGACAAAGAAATGATCAGTCTACAATTTTAATGGTAGGTTTATTTGAACAGTGAGAGACAGAATAACAACAACAAAATCCAGAAAAACGCATGTTAAAAATGTTAATAAATTGATTTGTATTTTAATGAGGGAAATAAGTATTTGACCCCCTCTCAATCAGAAAGATTTCTGGCTCCCAGATGTCTTTTATACAGGTAACGAGCTGAGATTAGGAGCACACTCTTAAAGGTAGTGCTCCTAATCTCAGCTCGTTACCTATATAAAAGGCACCTGTCCACAGAAGCAATCAATCAATCCGATTCCAAACTCTCCACCATGGCCAAGACCAAAGAGCTCTCCAAGGATGTCAGGGACAAGATTGTAGACCTACACAAGGCTGGAATGGGCTACAAGACCATTGCGAAGCAGCTTGGTGAGAAGGTGACAACAGTTGGTGCGATTATTCGCAAATGGAAGAAGCACAAAAGAACTGTCAATCTCCCTCGGTCTGGGGCTCCATGCAAGATCTCACCTCGTGGAGTTGCAATGATCATGAGAACGGTGAAGAATCAGCCCAGAACTACACGGGAGGATTTGTCAATGATCTCAAGGCAGCTGGGACCATAGTCACCAAGAAAACAATTGGTAACACACTACGCCGTGAAGGACTGAAATCCTGCAGCGCCCGCAAGGTCCCCCTGCTCAAGAAAGCACATATACATGCCCGTCTGAAGTTTTCCAATGAACATCTGAATGATTCAGAGGACAACTGGGTGAAAGTGTTGTGGTCAGATGAGACCAAAATGTAGCTCTTTGGCATCAACTCAACTCGCCGTGTTTGGAGGAGGAGGAATCCTGCCTATGACCCCAAGAACACCATCCCCACCGTCAAACATGGAGGTGGAAACATTATGCTTAGGGGGTGTGTTTCTGCTAAGGGGACAGGACAACTTCACCGCATCAAAGGGACGATGGACGGGGCCATGTACCGTCAAATCTTGGGTGAGAACCTCCTTCCCTCAGCCAGGGCATTGAAAATTGGTCGTGGATGGGTATTCCAGCATGACAATGACCCAAAACACACGGCCAAGGCAACAAAGGAGTGGCTCAAGAAAAAGCACATTAAGGTCCTGGAGTGGCCTAGCCAGTCTCCAGACCTTAATCCCATAGAAAATCTGTGGAGGGAGCTGAAGGTTCGAGTTGCCAAACGTCAGCCTCGAAACCTTAATGACTTGGAGAAGATCTGCAAAGAGGAGTGGGACAAAATCCCTCCTGAGATGTGTGCAAACCTGGTGGCCAACTACAAGAAACGTCTGACCTCTGTGATTGCCAACAAGGGTTTTGCCACCAAGTACTAAGTCATGTTTTGCAGAGGGGTCAAATACTTATTTCCCTCATTAAAATGCAAATCAATTAATAACATTTTTGACATGCGTTTTCTGGATGTTTTTGTTGTTATTCTGTCTCTCACTGTTCAAATAAACCTACCATTAAAATTATAGACTGATCATTTCTTTGTCAGTGGGAAAACGTACAAAATCAGCAGGGGATCAAATACTTTTTTCCCTCACTGTAACATCTCGGCATCACGGCCAGGTGTGCTTATATCCCGAGTGTGATTTATCAGAAATTAAAATCAAAGTGATTTCCAGCTCAAATGAGCAATGTGGTGGTGCTCATCTCCTGTTTGCAGCTAGTGGTGCAAATTCCACATTCCTTTGGTGGGGGCATGTCTGTCCACAGGACCAACGCTGTTAACTTTCCCAAAAAAGAATAGTTATTGTATTGGCCACAGAGGGATGATGGGTTGAGTCAACTCCCCAGTCAGGATATGAAATGCGCCAACTTCCGATTGTGATCTGCTCACTTTACCACTGAGTTACCTGGCCAGTTTGCCTCCCCCCCCACCCACCATAAGTGTAATATAATCATGTGTTGCTTATAAAAGAACTGTGCTTATATACAGCGTGTTTATGTCCAGCTATTACTGTCATGTCATTGGCATATATAACATGTTAAACCTTTCTCTTACATACAAATATGTTGGAGTCTTGAAAGTAAATACTGTATTTACGTCACGAATACACTAAAATAAAGATTTTTTTTTTTATTATAGTCAAATTGTTGACCAAACATTAAAAATGTTAGAATTTTGTAAGTGTGTGTGGGGTAATTTTTGCATTTAAAGCGATAGTAGTTTGGGGGATTGTAAGGTGGTAAATGTTATCATAAAATAATTGTAAATATTAAATATTGTACATTTCTATACTGGCTTCTCTAAATGTAAAATATACCGAAGGGCTACTAACGATTGCATATCCTCATTTTTAAAATATATTGTTTACTATATTTACATTCCGAATGTGAATTTTTTAAAAATAAAATGAATTGAATACGTGACATCTTCCAAAGACACTTATACTGTAATTGAATTATAGTCGTCATGGTAATGGACTAATGGTTCACTGATGATAGATTTACACAATTTAGAAGTGAACACCATGTTCTTATCAAATGAAGGCAATTATGCTGGTTCATTTGACAACGCTGGGTGTATTTACACTCTGGATGTTGCGTATATTTACTTTGGTTAATTTTTTTAGTAATATACGTGCATTTAAATGCCAATAAAATGTGCTTTCAAATCATATCTCTTGTTCCAATTAATGATTAATATTAAAAATTGTCTAAATGGACACGCAGCAGTCTGAGATGAACTAGATATTCATTAAAATGTATCTATACAACTTATGACGTGCAAAACAGTGAGCTCAAAGCTATCACGTGAAATATGGATTTTAACTGAAGACAAGGTTATGTCAGGCCATAGGCAACGAAATGTATACTTCATTCTAATTTTGAAATGTTAAATTACAGTTGGTTGGATAATACATACTGACCGAATATCTGAGCAGTGAATGCTGATGGACTCATATGGCTGTGTGAAGGGTGAAATGAAGATAATTATATAGGCTATATAGATCACATGTCAGGCTTTCAGGAAGTGAATTTTTTCTCTTTGCAGTTCAGGTTATATATAGAGAAACTGCAATCAATTTAGAAGCTCCCTCATTCTGCATCCCTTTCCCATGCAAATACTTACGTTGCTTTTAATCCAACAATATGGCCCTTTCCTCTTACCTGCTTGCATCACTATACAATAAAGGGGGTGACATTACAGCACTAAGTGTGTTGGGCATGGCAGGGACTATTGTATCAAATGGTAATGCTCAAGCTAAGAATAGTACCAGGAAGATATCAACATCCCTGGCTCCCTTCGGATTAAAACCCGAGCAAGGGCTTATCAAGTTATATAGTTCATCTTTCTGTCCTGTGCAAGATAATGAAGCCATGTTCAAATGCAGTATATGTTACTGCAAATCGTGATCAGCAACGTTTTTGGAATCCTGTCCCTCATTTTCTGTATCGTCAAAAATTATGATGATTTTTGCTGACGCCACAACCTCCAATCTTTAAAAAAATCCCCAAAATTCGATGAATAGTTTTATATAGCGTTCATGAAAATTGCATCTCACAATTGCTGATGAACCACAGACAAAGCTGGAAGGGCGGCAGGCGGTGAGCCGGGAATCAGCAATTTCTCTGCAGTTTATTTTCAGCCATTGGTGAATGTTTATACATGTGGGAGGACACCTGAAAAATCCAGAGAAAACCCACGCACGTGAGGGGGCAACACTCTATCCCATACAGAAGAGACAGATGACACCAGTCCACATTTTGCTGTACTGAATTACACTGGCAAGCGAGGGTATGGCGCATTGGTGCCCACGGAAAGGGAGTTTCGTGGCATTTTGTCATTTTTCCGATCCACCAACCCCCCAAAGTGCTGGATTACAGACGTACCATTTATTTGTCATAGTGTGCAGACATTCAAAATTCCACTGCTGGATGAAGGCCTTCCAATGCCTTTCAGTCGTGTGACCATACATCACCACGTTGGTCAGTGTGGGTGGGTTCAGGGGGGTAGCTAGGACTGATTTAGATATCACTCCCTACTGACGGCAGCCACGACTGAGAATCAATCTCACATTACCTGGGTTCAGGACACAATGTGCAAACCATTTTACCACCACTACACCCATTCAGCTACCGTACCTGTTTTTACATTATATTATGTCCTGTCACCTCCACTTTCAACAAGAGACGTGTAATCTCAGTGGGCACTCGTGAAATTCACTATCGTAATTCCTCTGTGCAAGTGTATTACCAGGTCGGTCGACGTACAAAGCGTCTATGTGTTCTTTATTCTCGCATGTCTCATCTTCCTCCACTCCTCTCCAGTTGATGAACACTAAACCTGCTTAACACTAACAAACACAGTCGGTCTCTCTGTCTTTGATGTGCGCAGTAACACACAACACAAACACATAGAGAAGGTATAGTATATCGAACCAACTCTCATTAGTGTCATTCCAAGCATGCATCATCTTCGTCATGCTCTATCCACTGCTGTATGAATATCAAGATGCTGTCTGTAACTTTAATATGTTCTCTCATACGTGTGTTTATCTTTCTATTTCTAAATATAATACTAAGCGTACACCCCTCCATGCTCCTTGTAAAACTTATATTGTATGCACACTTGCCACTTCATTTGTGTCCATATTTCTTATTCATATGTCAAAGCAGATAATATGCGTTCATAAGAACGATACGATACTCTCTGTGCACAAACGCGTGTTGGAAAGTGTTATCGAAACCTTGCGTATTTATGATTTGTTTCTTCTTCTTTTCGTTATTTCCAACAACAAATGTAAGAAACAGCTTTCGCACATCTCCGAGAAACGTATTTGTTAACGTCACGCTATTACGATAATGCAAGTTATTTGGAAACTTCTACAAGTTTAATTATTCACACAGAAATTCGTAGTGTGTCTCCACGTCAAATACAAACATTTTCAGTTCATCTGCTTCTTGGATTTCCAGACAAACATGCAGCTGCATTTGTTTAATTAAGCAAACTGTTAGTCACACTTGTAAAAAAAATGCTGCTGCAGACCAATATGGAACATTGGTCTGCAAAGCCAATAGTCTGATGGACTAAATCCATATTTTATATTGATGTGGAGATGGCACAACGAACTTCTTCTGCTGTATCCAAATGTTTTAATGAAATTACCTAAATATTTTGCTCGGCACGAGTGAGTTTAACACATAGGCTTTCGCGACCAATATTATCCATAATAGAGGCTTTTGAGGTGAGATCGCTTAAATATAAATGTGTCGTTAAACCCGCCACCACAACTCTGGCTGTCGCCTGATGATGCTGGTTGTAATTACCGGAGAAACTTCATAGTACTCGAATTGTATATGTTGTGGGTTTACTCTCCAACACATAACCGGTGTGCTGAATTAGTAATGAATTGGCATGTTTTGTTTACGTGACAAACCTTAAGAATTGGGCTGTGTCGGGTTGGTGGAAGGTTTAACGAAACATTTATATTTACGCGATCTAACCCCCCCAAAAAAGCATTCATTATGGCACAAGTGTGGTTTGTTTGATTTGAGTCAAAAGAGGGCGCCAGCTGAGAGGGTTGTGGAGGCGGTGGCTTTGCGAATCGAGCTGCAATCGGGCGCCTCTCGAAAGCCCGCGGGTGCATTTTACAGACAGACCACAGTGCAAAAAAAACACTCTACAAAGCCATTAAAATGTAGAAGAAAGCTAGCGTACCTTAATGCCAGGAGAATCAAAATAGCACACACGCACGCACCAGTGATAGAGTTATACGGCTATTGTGGACCAAAAATGTATGCTACTCTATAGGGCCTAATTGTTTTTTTTTTTTCCCCCGCGTTAATTGTAAAACATATGCGTGTGTTAATACGCAGCTCGTCTTAAATATTTACAACATTTTACGTATGTACGTAAAGCGGTCTGTATTTACAACATCTCGAGGTGCAATGTTGGTTGTGATATATTCTCTTTAATTAAATGTAAGCGTTATCTCGGGGGGTGGTGGGGGGGGGGACGACACGTCACACAATCGCCTCAATGCTATTAGCGTTCTTGTTCTACTAAAATTGCGGCTATAACAATGCTCGGTCTCTTGGCGCATTTACAAAAAAACCACTAAGTCAGCAATTCAAGTGCTCACCGTGATAACAATAATATTAACCCCTCTATCCGGATTAATCGTTCGAATCCGGTTATAAAATCAGTTGAGGAAAAGCAAAATGATACAAGTTGCAGTCGTCTAAACTGTCTAATACAACAGAGAGACAAGCGCCATCGGGAATGTGCAGCGTGCAGGCTGTGTGTCTTTAATTCGTTTCATGTCTGGGAGAGGGTAGTGGTGTTTTGGGGATGGGGGTGGGGGGCTGCATTGTTTCGCTCCCAACCCCGCGTCTCCCCCGACACCTCCTCCAGCACCCCCCTCTCTCGTCCGGCCACCGGGATGTGGTGACGCGCGCCGCGAACCCGCGCACTCTTGCGCTCTGCCGAGCCGTGAGAGCGCGGTTCGCTACGGGACTGCGGCCACCCGAGCCCCCCCCCTCCACACCGCGTCGTGTCGGGGATGTGGGGCACCCTCGCTCGCAGGCACAAGGAGAGGGGCGCATGGTCGGCATCGACGCGCCTCCTGGGACCATGAGTGAGCCCCCACCGCTGGGCGCCGTGACACTGGGGCGCCTCGATCGCCGCTCGTGGAGGTGGTGCTGCTGATGTTGATGGTGGTGGTGGCGATGATGGAGGAGAAGGGTTTCAAGGCAGAGCCGGCGTGCGCGGCAGGTAACGAGGATGAAGATGACACTCGGAGGGTTATGCTGAACCTCACGGCGGATGAAGCCCTAGGATGCGAACCCGGGAAAGGCTTAAGTTTTAGAATCCTAGCCGGGTGCCTGCTCTCCCTCCTCATCCTCTCCACGCTCTTCGGGAACACACTCGTGTGTGCCGCCGTCATCAAATTCCGGCACCTGCGCTCCAAAGTCACCAACTACTTTGTGATCTCTCTGGCAGTCTCGGACCTCTTCGTGGCCCTGCTGGTGATGCCGTGGAAGGCGATCACCGAGGTGGCGGGATTCTGGCCCTTCGGAGCCTTCTGCAACGTGTGGGTGGCATTCGACATCATGTGCTCCACGGCCTCCATCCTCAACCTGTGCGTGATCAGCGTGGACCGCTACTGGGCGATCTCCAGCCCGTTCCGCTACGAGCGCAAGATGACCCAGCGGGTGGCCTTCGTGATGATCAGCGTGGCGTGGACACTGTCCGTGCTCATCTCCTTTATCCCGGTGCAGCTTAACTGGCACAAAGCTCAGCACGTGCAGCAGACGTGGGAGTTCCACAACGCCAGTGGCGGCGCCGACGCGGACGCGAGCGTGCCCGAGAACTGCGACTCGAGCCTCAACCGCACCTACGCCATCTCGTCGTCCCTCATCAGCTTCTACATCCCAGTGGCGATCATGATTGTCACCTACACCAAGATATACCGCATCGCGCAGAGGCAAATCCGCCGCATTGCCTCACTGGAGAGGGCCGCCGAGCACGCTCACAATTGCCAACTCAATCCGAACGACTGTCCCAACGAGATGTCGTTCAAGACGTCCTTCAAGAAGGAGACCAAGGTGCTGAAGACGCTCTCGGTCATCATGGGAGTGTTCGTGTTCTGCTGGCTTCCGTTTTTCATCCTGAACTGCGTGGTGCCCTTCTGCGACAGCGCCGGAGTCGAGGGGGATGACGAGCAGCAGCAGCAGCAGCATCACCCGTTGTGCGTGAGCGAGACCACGTTCAGCATCTTCGTATGGTTCGGCTGGGCCAACTCGTCGCTGAACCCCATCATATACGCCTTCAACGCCGACTTTCGCAAAGCTTTCTCTACCCTCCTTGGGTGCAACACGCTGTGCGCCAGCACGCCGGTCGAGACGGTGAACCTGAGCAACGAGGTCGCCTCCTACCCGCACGACGTGACGAGCAACCACAAGGACGGCGGCGCCAACTACGTGCAGTTCATCCCGCACGTGGTCATCGTCAACGACGAGAGCGACGGCGACTTCGACAAAGTTCCCGAGGAGTCGCGGAGCATGCGGGAGGACAGGTCCGGCATCGACCACAGGCTGGACTGCGATGAAGACGTGAGTCTCGAGACCATCACACCCTTCACTCCCAATGGGGTGCACGAAACGTAGCTCGGACGCAAGCTTGAGCAGAGAGAACAAAACAAGAACTCCCGTGGAACATTTTGCACGAAGGATAAGACTGCCTTAGGATCGCTTGACTGAACAAAGAGTCCCTTCAGAATGATTACGTTCTGCTTTTAAGACTTGCATTGAGGAGCTCAAACTTTCAGTGGGGGTGATATGCTGCTGGACTAGTAACGTGTCTTTAACAAGAGCCAGTTAAGTGGGACCACTGTAGCCAGAACTTATATTTAAACAGTATTGGTTCAGTCACCGATATTCCAGAACTGCTGCTTTGAAAGACGACTTTTATTCAGATATTGTGAACAGTATTGATTCATAACGTCATTATGAAAGTATTAACGCGTTATGAGAAGTTAAAAACAAACTTTTTTGAAACAGACATTAACTTCTGTTGTTTTGCTTAAGGTAACAAGACAAGTTTAGCACTGCAACGCTAAAAGAATATAGCTGCATTCATTAACATATTGGGACAGTGCTTGGATATTTAGAATGTCTTTAGTGAAACTAGAAATAAATAAATACAGTAATGCACTTTCATGATGTCCTGTTTCAGTACCCTGGACAGCTCCATTTGAGTGTTTCACCCCGTTGAGTAACATTTGATTAATGTGCCTGATCATGCTACAAGTGCAGTGGTTCACTTTATTAACCCAACAGCAGAAACCATTTGCTGTTAAATATTGCTGTCAACCATTGTAATTTTAGAATTGGCAATAAATTTAAATTTATTTTGGAATAACCTCTTGCCCTGTGTTTATTCTCTTTTCTCTCTTCTTTTACCTGGCTCATATTCTCGGAAATGTATTGAACCATCCTGAAAACACATACTACTAAAACAACTTTAATAGTAAAATATACTTTTCCATAATCAACAAATCAATGTAGACTTACTTAACTTGCATTATCTGTAGTGTGCTGTCAAATTGGATACTAAATAAGAATATATCTTCCTTTACCATTGATCCACATCTTTAGCTTAATGTGACCATAAAAAGTAATATAAGCCAATCATTCATAAGGAGTAAAAGATGTTCTGCAAGTAAAGCGTATTTCTTGTTTGTAATAGATTAATAGGATTAGCAAATCCACGAGCGTAATAGCATTCCGTATAAGAATACTCTTTGTTATTCTGTTGGGATATTGTTCTTATTTTCCTTAGGGTTTGTTCCAATAGTTAACTCAACATTGTTTTTTTGTGAAATCAGTCTTTCCAATGTAAATATTCTCCACAAAATGTGTTTTATTCCTTCCCGAATGTATTATCCAGCCAAGTACAATGCAATGGAGTTTAATGTATCAAACAATGCATATTGTATACGTCATGAATAAAAGTATTTTTTATAAAACATTCCTAAATAAGGTGACACAATATGTGTCATTTATTGTACAATTTCCGCACCAAATATAAAAAGTCAATCATTTAGCAAAAATTTAACTCATAACGACAATTAGCACCCGATGCAAATTCATGGGCACGAAGTGCAATGTTTGTGCAACATTGAGAAAAATGTCTCAGCGCCATTGACACACTTTAGGACTTGAAATTTACGTAATAAAAAAAACGTATGCGCTGTTTAATACGGTTGAATTAATTTTATGGAGAAGTAGGGGGTCCTCATTTAGTCAGCTAAAGATAGTCACTTTTATTATTTACATTTATATATTTAATAATGGCACGGAGGTGCCTGCTAATGGATATGCCCTTGTCCCTTGATGAGATGGGCGGGGCCACATTAGCATCCGAATTACATACGAAAAGAAAGCCACAGAGCTAAGTTACAGTATTTGGGCAAAACAAAATTATTCTAAAGCCATCCTCCGCAGTACAGCCAGCCACAGGAATTGTTGGCTTGGATGGTGTGAGGGAAATCTGTTTCGTCTGACAATTAGACAACCAATTACTGTGCAGTGTGAGGATGGCACATTACTGAGATTCCTGAAACCTGAAGCTTGAAAACTTTAGTCTAATATGATTCAGAGAGCTGAGTTTACAATTTTAACGTTTGGCTAAACGCAATTTATCTAATGATGGCAACATAAAAAAAAATCACTATTTAACATTCACGGATACAATCCAGGATTTTATTCCAATGTATAATCAATTGATTATTGATTATACATTTTTAAAGGCAAACATTACACGGTTATAACGAAGCTAAAATGATCAGATGTGACTTTGGAGGAGAACTCGGACAAATGAAAGCTTCCCCCAGCTATGGGCTTTACCATGGTTGGAACAGGGTGTGCAGGTTGGTAGGCAGTGGGAAATATTAGTTTAGATGTTTCAGTTGTTAATTGGTTACTTTATGATATACTAATTATGTTGTGCCTATGCATATACCGCACATTGGTAATATTATTTTAAGACATTGCTATTTTCACGTACATTGTATGCATGACATCCATTTTGAGCCTGCAAACAATCAAGTAATCAAGCAAATCAACTACCACCAGATGTGCCGTTGTGGCAATTATAGCTAAGAACCTTCATTACACTCAATACAAGTGGAGACGGCCCTTTTGCATCTTTAATACAAATCTCACAATTGATTCCCTGGACGCGGTGATTAGTTATCAGTGGAGGTTGATATGTAAATGAGTCCTAGACACTGGTCTTCACCGGCAAGCACTGACCACCTAGGTGAAGTATGGTCAATCAACCCCAACAACCAGAAGTGGAAGGACAAAGGGCTACAATTATACATTTGTTATTATCGTATATGGTAAAGTACACGCATTTTCAAGGGAATTGTTGTGCAACACATCGATGCGATCCAGCTTCATCTAAACAAAAGTTATTTTCCTTAAGAAAATGGCATGCATGCTTATAATTTGTGTCATTCGTAAACAATCGCCGTTGAAATGTTATTTTGAATAATTGTTTAGCCGAATAAACTTAATTGCTTCGTTAGATATGCTGGTGTTGTTCGCTCCACTATGAAATGTAGTTAATTAAAGTAGAATTGGCACATGTTGTTCTCCTGATTACACATTATATTGCACTTGTGCGTATGTATGTTGAACTTCTTTTGCACCGTACATAGCCAACCATGCTAATCGGAGGTGCAGGGGAAGGACAACAAACTAAACACAAAAATTAGTTTTAAAGAAATGACTTTTCAATCTAGATGATTTAAAAGTGCATAGCTGCATAGCTAGAGTGGCTTCCTAATATCTGAAGGAAGAGCATTCCGAACGGCCGCAGAAGTGCATCTGAAAGCGCGCAATGCAGTAACCGTCTTTGTTCAATGGTTAGCCAACAATTTTTAAAGTACTTTTAAAATTTACCCAGATATTTGTAAATTTAGTTAACCAAAAATAGCAATTGCATGTACAGCATAGGAATACGCAAGCTCTATGAATGGAAGATGAATCAATGGGGCACCTCATTCCACAGTGTCAAGCTGGACACATTCCAAGCATATTTATATAGATTCAACAGAATAATATATACAGCTCTATTGAGTACCATTTGTATGCTGGCTCTGTAACATAACTGAGCGAAACATGACAGAGCATTCAATGCCAGGAATGTCCGTGGAGTGCATGGATCTCAAGATTATTGCAGTCTGGTTATTGACATTCAGTTATCACGTACACTGCTGGACCCCTGCACTGTGTGGTTTATAGCTCTGGGTTGCACCATTGGTGGAAATTCATCAGCGTTAATGCTTTTTGTCAAGGATTTGAGACAGCAACATGTTTATCTGCAAGCAACACAGCAAGCACGTTCCCTATGGCAAATACAAAATGCCTTAACATTTGGGAACAGCATGGTGGCATTGTATAAAATTCCATTCCATTCGTTTTTAGTTGAAAGGTAATATTTACCATGTAAAACAAAAGTAGAATTTATATTTTTTTCACAGCATGATAAAACCAATGAAGATATAACAAAAAAAATGTTTGCATGCACAACGTAACAGCACAGATGAACCCATGAAGTGTGTTTGAAATAATTTTGACTGCACCCATTAATGTTTTTTTTCAACAAGCATCAGCATGGTTATACATGATGGGGCAAACATTACTTGCCCCCTGAGGTGGAATAAAAGTCTACAAAGGTAAAGGCGCAGCGCCGCAAGAAGGGCGTACACTAAAGGGCGCTGTGGAGATCCACCTAGAGGGCATTTTGGCATTGCTTTTTTCACCACACTTACCAGACATCTTGCCCCTCCACACGCGGCCTGATAATTAATAAACGACACCCAGTATGCATCATTACAATGATTTTTAAATGTTGACTTGTGAGATTACCTGCAATAGCTTGCTCACACCATTGCTGGTGGAAGAGAGCCATTTTTGGCCGGGGGTATTGGAATAGGTGCAAGTACCCACACATTGCCTCACGTTTGAGGAACAGTTAGTTACCGTTGGGTTGACAGAGTATCATGCCAGGATATGAAACTGACGACCTCTGGATTGCAAATCCAGTGTAGTATCCCACTTGTGAATGTACCATGGTTGCAAATATTACATTACAAATGGTGAAGGGGCATATTGCTAGAGGGTGAAGAGCTAGGAGGCATGAACTCTGGGTCGGTTTCTCGGAGGAGCCTGCAATGTTACTATGGTGGAAATCTATTTCTACAAATTGAACTTAGCTCTCTCACACTAAATGTACCCTGATTTCTAGCATCCTTGTGGAGAGAGGTGAAGAGCATTCAATAAACTTTTCCATATTTCTTTTCCTGTGGCACACCGCGATATCGAACCGGTGACCTCTGCATTGCAAGTCCGGTGCACTGACCATTACACAACAGCAGCCTCTCATAAATCAAGAAAGTGAAATCATATATTGAGAGGGAGATGGCGAACTGAACCACCACTTTGGGCTCAGAGCTTCTGGTTGCAGCACTTACAAACCTGTGCAGTTTGTGCAAGATCCCTGGAAGCCCAATTAATAAACCTGACATCATCCTGCTTGAGAGTCCCACTGCCAATGTACCAGCCAACAATGTTTGTACTCCTCTCACCATTCAGAGATCCCCTCTCAGTTTAGAACTGTGAACAATGAGTCGAATCTGCGAGTTTCTAACGAAGTTTTTTTTTTACTTTTTAGAAAAATGTTTATGGGTGGCCATATTGACATCCCATTTCTGCTCACTGGACAAGGAATCTTACCGTTTCAAGAGTGAAATGAGATTAATTTGTTCCTCCTGGGTCAAAATTTTACCGAGAACCCCAGAGTTGCCAAGAGTATTCGAGATTTTCACATCTTTGTAACTTTTACGTGTTTTTGTTTCCTCTTTGAAAATAACAACAGTTAAATATCATGAAATAGTATTCCTTGATTTATTCCTCATACAGATTATTAATAATGGATGCATGCATGAAGAAGTGTGATTATTAATGGTTATATGAAGTCACATAGCTCAGTAAGCTCTAGGACACAATGTGTGTGGGTGGCGGTTACCCATCCACACAATGACCATGCTCAACTCTGCTTGCCATCGGTGATAATACAAGGTCAGACATATTCTTGGTGATTTGATCATAGGTTGCTACATGACGTGCCCTAATGGGCAATGCGGACAAATCAATTGTTGTACTGTGTACTTTCATGCATCCTGCTTTCATAAACCCACGTTGATCAGCATAATGAAGTATGGTAAAATAACCTCCATGACCCACAAGGTATGGTTGGGCCCTCATCCAGTACAAACATATATTGTCAGCTTAATTGCTGAGTTTTTATCATATTTTGAGTTAGCATTCGTAACATTGAATTCCCACAGA